TGGGTAACAAGAGCGAAACTCCGTCTCAAAAAAAAAAAAAAAAAAAAATTACAAGACACGCAGAGAAACAGAAAAGTAACCCAGATTCAAGAAAACAAGCAGTAACTAGAAACAGACTAAGGCCCAGATATTGGATTTAGCAGACAACTTCAAAACAGTAAATACAAATATACTTTTAAAATTAAGGCGGGGCACGGTGGTTCACACCTGTAATCCCAGCACTTTGGGAGGCTGAGGCAAGAGAACTGCTTGAGCCCAGGAGTTCAAGACCAGCCTGAGCAACACAGTGAGACCCTGTCTCTACAAAAAATACAAATGGTTGCATGTAGTACCAGCTACTCAGGAGGCTGAGGCAGGAGGATCACTTGTGCCCAGGAGGTCAAAGCTGCAGTGAGCTAAGATTGCACCACTGCCCTCCAGCCTAGGTGACAAAGTGAGACCCTATCTCAAAAAAAAAAAAAAAAAAAAAATTAAAAAGACATGAGAAGAAATCTCAGTAGAAAAATATAAATGGCAATTCCAGAGTTGAAAAATGTAATAATTAAAATAAAAAATTCACTAGATGGGCTCAACGGCAGATTTCAAATGGCAGAACAAAGAAGGAGTGAACTGAAAAATAGTCAACTGAAAAAGAGATCACCTGAAATTATCCAATTTAAAGAATAGAAGGAAAAAAGATCAAAGAAAAATGAACAGAACTTTGGATTATGTTTAGGTTCAGGTTGAATTTTTTTAAAGAAACAAAAAACCCTATGGGAGAACAGCAAGTGTTTCAGTTTATGTGTTAGCTAGGCACAGTGGCTCACGCTTGTAATATCAGCACTTTGGGAGGCCAAGGCAGGCAAATCATGAGGTCAGGAGTTTGAGACTAGCCTGGCCAACATGGTGAAATCCCCATCTCTGCTAAAAATACAAAAATGAGCCAAGTGTGGTGCCACATGCCTGTAATCCCAGCTACCTGAGAGGCTGAGGCGGGAGAATTGCTTGAACCTGGGAGGCAGAGGTTGCAGTGAGCCAAGATTGTGCCACTGCACTCCAGCCTGGGCAACAGAGCAAGATTTCGTCCTGGGGGAAAAAAAATTTATGTGCAATGAGAGAGCCAAGAAAAGAGAAGAAAGGAAAAAATATATTTGAAGAAATTATAGTCAAAAACATCCCAAATTTGATGAATATAGATTTCAAAATCTCAAGAAAACCCAAGTATGATAAAAACAGAGATCCACTCCTAGACACATCATACAGAAACTTCTTAAAGCCAAAGACAAACAGAAAATCTTGAAATCTGCAAGAGAAAAACAACTCATTACCCACCGGAGAACCAACAACAGGATTAACAGCTGACTTTTCATCAGAATTAGCTGACTCCCAAGCGAGTGGTCCACGGGATGACATATTTAAAGGATGGGGTATGGAGGAAGAAACTGTCAACCAAGAATTCTATAGCTAACAAAGCTATCATTCAAAACTGAACACACAAAAAACACAACATTCCCATATAAATAAAAACAGACTATTTGTTTCCAGCTAGTCTACTCTAAAGAAAATACTAAAAGAAGTCCTTTGGACTGAAAGCAAATGACACTGGATAATAACTTGGACCGATAAGAAGATATGAAGATCACTGAAAATGGTGAAAAAAACCATAAACAGAGCTAGGTCTTTCTATGCAGATTATAGGACATTTCTATCTTTAGAAATATACCACACAAGGCTGGGCATTGTGGCTCATGCCTCTAATCCCAGCACTTGTGGAGACCATGGTAGGAGAATTGCATGACAGGAGTCTAAAATAAGCCTGAGCAACAAAAGAAGTCCCTGTCTCTAAAAAATAAAAAATGAGCTGGGTGTGGTGGTGTATGCTTGTAGTTCCAGCTACACGGGAGGCTGAGGCAGGTGAATCACTTGAGCCCAGGAGACTGACGTTGCAGTGAGCTATGTTCATGCCATTGCATTCCAGCCTGGGTGACAAAGCAAGAGACAATACAATTTTCCTTATGTTGATATGAGATACACGCTTATTATTAATTTATGACATTTCCTTTATTTTAGCAAGTTAGTAGTAAAAGGTGAGGTCAAAGAGATAAGCTGGGGCTAGAGACTAGTAAACCAAGTACAGAGTTTGAATTTTATTCTAATTGCATTAGAGAACTATTAAGAGTTCAGTAGGAAATCAGCAAAATTTGCATTAAAAAAACCCAAAACTATCTTAGTGCTACAGTGAAGGATAGACAAGTTAGGCAGCAGTAATGCCGGAAATAAGTGATGAGGTCTGGACTAGAATGGTGATGATGATAAATTCTTTTAAATTTCCTAACAGCCTCTATTTTAGAGTGAGCCAACGGCAAAGAGAGATTAAATAACTGGTCCAAGGTCAAACAGTTTAGTAGGGGCCATACTAAGATTCAAACACAAACAATCTGGTGGAAGAGTAGTAAGATGTAGAGAAGGTGAAGTAGTTTTAGAGTTATGGTTATCAAGGCTTGCTAATCAATTAGATGTGAAGATGTAAGAAATAAAGGATATTCCTAGGTTTTTCTTGAGAAACTGAGCTTGGTAGTATAACTATGTAGAGAAAGGATGTAAAATAAGAAGAAAAGGGGTTCCAGGAGCTGAACAGAAAAAGAGGCAGCAGCAGAAGAGCCAGTGTTTGGCAGGAAAACTGGGACAGCACAAAAAGCCAAAAGACTAAGTATTTCTAGGAGGAGAAAGGATAATGTATACAATGCTGCTGAGAGAAGGTGTAAATGAGAACACATGTAAATGCTAAATTAATGTAGAGAGTTTTCTAGTTGTATAATTAAGGTGAAAATTTCGATATGATTGCCATGCATCCTTCTGTTTTTCACCTCATAGTTCACATACCGTAAGAGATCCATTTTGTGTGCTGGGTGAGTTGCTGCTCTGCTCCCCGTGGGCTTGCGTACTTCCATAGAGTGTCAGGTCATGCTCACCGGTCTGGCCGGCATAGTCTTGAGTGTGTGGCACCCCATATTCTGTGGGAATTCCATTCTGCGGAGGTGGTGGAAATGGGATGGTAGTAAAAGGCTGAACCATCGCGTCAGGAGTTGTTGTTGGCTCCTGGTTACCCTAAAACAAACAATGAGAAAACCAAAAAGTGACTCTGAATCCTTCTCACCTAACTAGTTTTCAAGTGAGCATATGGAATTATCCGAACATTCTCTCACTGCATAGGCTGGGTGCAGTGGCTCATGCCTGTAATCCCAGTAGTTTGGGAGGCCAAGGTGGGCGGATCACCTGAAGTCGGGAGTTTGAACAGTCTGACCAACATGGAGAAACCCCATCTCTACTAAAAATACAAAATTAGCCAGGTGTAGCAGTGCATGCCTGTAATCCCAGCTACTTGGGAGGCTGAGGCAGGAGAACTGCTTGAACCCGGGTGGTGTGGCGGTGGTTGGTGGTGAGTTGAGATCCTGCCATTGCACTCCAGCCTGGGCAACTGTCTCAAAAAAACAGGAAGGAAGTCCCAGTTTTAGTCATCAAATCAGCAAAAAAAAATTAAGCAGTTTTATTGTGATATAACTTTCATATAATAAACAGCACTTATTTGTTTATAGTATACAATTTGGTAAGTTTTGATATATGTACTTATATTCTCATAAAATCATCACAATCAAGATAGTCAACACATATATCCAAAACCCCCAAGTTTCCTTGTGCCCCTCAATAATAACTGTGTATTACTTTTGTAATAAAACCTATACAATATATTTTTACTATTGAAGAGAATGACAAAAAATATATACTCAATAAAGGGAAGCCAATATTCTGAAACACTGAATTACTGTGTTACCCTTCAGAGAATGGTAATGATCTACCTAGAAACAAAAATTCGTAACTCTCTTCCATTGAAAAGTTAAAACAACTTCAAAATGCAGCTGTCTCCACTGTCCAAGAATGATTTCTACTTAGTAATAAAAACTGCTTTATCTAAAAGCGATGAAAGAAAAAGGCAGAGAATTGGGAGTGGGGGACTGCAACAGTCTAGATAAAAAGTGATGAACTGATTACAGTTATTAGAAGGAAGGGACACAGTCATAGGCTGAGTTGTGTTCCTCCCCAACTCATATGTTGAGGTTCTAACCCTAACTACCTCAAAATGTCATTGTTTTTATAGACAGGGTCTTTAAAAAGGTAATTAAGTTAAAGTGATGTCATGAGGAGAGGCCTTAATCCAATTGGAGTGGTGTCTTCATGAGAAAAGGGAACGTAGATACAGACACATACAAAAGAAGGCCCACGTGAAGACACAGAGCATGGCCATCTACAAGCCAATGAAAAAGACATTAGAAACCAACCCTGCTTACACACTGATCTTGCACGTCTAGCCTCCAGAATGGTGAGAAAATATATTTCTATACTGTTATGTAATACTTTGTTATGGAAGCCCTTGCAAACTAGCGGCAGGAATGGAGATTCTATAACACAGAAAAATAAAAAAAAAATTGCTTTACATAGAAATGTTCCTGCTATTGGACATAATGACTCATACTCTGTAATCCCAGCACTTTGGGAGGCAGAGATGGAAAGACTGCCTGTGGCCAGGAGTTCAAGACCAGCCTGGGCAACACAGAGCGACCCTGTCTCTAGAAAAACTTTAAAAAATTAGCTGGGCATGGTGGCAAGTGTCTAGTCCCAGCTACTTGTGAGGCTGAGGCAGGAGGATTGCTTAAGCCCAAAGGCTGGAGGCTGCATTGAGCCCTGATTGGACCACTGCACTCTAGCCTGGACAACAGAAAGACCCTGTCTCTTAAGAAAAGAAAAAAGCCTGGGTAATTCCAGCACCTTCTGAGGCCGAGGTGGGCGGATCACTTGAAGTCAGGAGCTCAATACCAGCCTGGCCAAAATGGTGAAACTCCGCCTCTATTAAAAATATAAAAACTAGCCAAGTATGGCGAGAAATGACTTTAATCCCAGGCACTTGGGAGGCTGAGGCAGGAGAATCGCTTGAACTCAGGAGGGCTGACATTTTGCAGTCCTCTGCAAATGCAGTGAACTGACATTGCTGCCACTGTACTCAAGCCCAGACAACTGAGTAAGACTCGCGATCTCAAAACACAGAGAAAAAAAAAAAAAAAAAAGTCTTTCTCTTTAGTTCTTAGAAAATGTGCTATGAAAACGTTAAATTTTTGAGCCCATAAAATTTTTTTGGAAAAAGTCTCTTTGTCACCCAACACTATATAACTTCTCTTAATTATTTCTAGGTTAGGATAGTATACATGATTTCTTTTTAGCTATTCTGGGCATCTGAAGAGAGATATAAAATAGTTATCACCTTTCTCCTTCAAATTATTCAATCCTCTGTCTCTCTGTATCTATCTAGCCATATGAAACATAGTGCTTCAGAAGCCCTCACTGGATGTAACAGCCTGAAGACAGATACGAAAAATAACTGGAATTCAGGTGGACTGGTGAATGAAACACAATAAGAGCACCAAAGGTCTTATGGCCACATCAGGCATAAATGTATCTTACAGGAATCCATAAGAAAGTTCTACTAAATAACTGCTAAAGGCTAAAAGACACAGTTCAAGTTAGGATTAACAAGGCCAAGGGGACTTTCTCGTGCTCTGACAGTTCTCCTCTCAGCCTCCTCATTTTACTCCAGCCTCCATTCTCCACCCCAGCCTGTTGGGAATGAGACTCTGGCACACAAGTACACAGTGTGAATTCTCCCAAAGGGCTATGTATGATTCAGTCAACTGAATAAACACATCAATTAGCAGTGGGAGATGGGGAGAAAGGTAAAAACATTTCCTATGATCCACTTGTAGCGTAGGCACTAGGCGTTTCACAGAAATGCAAGCCAGGCACAGGCTCTATTCTCCTAGAGGAGAAATGTAACCTCTGTTAGGAGGTCAAGAAGAAATTCTTGGTGAATTATTTTGTTATAGAAATTTCTTTTAATTTTTTTGTTAAAAATGTAACAATTGTTTATATACTAAGGGAATGAAATTGAGATAGGCGTGATTTAACATTTTCTCTTACATATCCTGCAATATCTGAATATTTCCCCAAGTATGTATTATTAAAAATGTTAAATGGTTTCAGATTTCTATTAAATTTCCAGGCCATATTCCACAGTTGTATGTTCAGAAAACAGCCCTCAGCAAACTATGAGGTAATAGTTCACATGATTATTTCTTGGTATGAATTTACCTCTATACTTATGTAAAAATGTTTTGTTTCTAATACCAGAGGCTAAGGTGCGTAAGCATGTCTCACCTGAGAAAAGAAATTATTAGCTTTCTCTTTAGTCCACAAGGCTAGACAGAATAGCTCTTTTCCCTAACCTAGCAATCTATAAACTTTCTTCTATTTCCAGTTAGTAGTAATTCCTTCCTTTCCTGTATTCTTATAATAACTAGCTTGCATCCCCTACAAGCCATTTAAATATAAAGCCTCATACTCAGCAAATCTAAATATGTGTTTTAACTCTCCTATTAGATCAAAAGGTTCATTATGATGAGTGGACACAGTCCTGTACGATGTAGAATCCCACATGGTACATAATAAATATGAAGTGTTAAACATTTATGAAACAGAGGGAGATTGAGACAGTCACGTGTGTGCACATTACAGCAAACTGCTTTGCTGGGCTAGAGTAGAGAGCATAACAAGGGATAACATACAATGAAACAAATGTTGATATCCTGGGTTGATATCAAACTGGATGTAGGGATGGGAAAGCAGAAGGGGTGAAGCATTAGGAAAGAAAAGAATCAACATTTATGTGCTTATGCTTTATGCACTTCATTTCCTTCTGCCTTACAAACACGGGCTTTAAGAGTTGTTGACCTGCTGTAGGTGAAAATCAGATGTAACTTAATTTCTAAGTTTAGAATGATGTCTTTCTCCTTGAAACCACAGATAGTTACAGAGGCGATACATATTCTACACAGTCTTTAGGTGTACAATGTGAAATATGCTAAATGCTTTTATTCTAAATTCAAATATACAGTTGTCCCTTCATTGGTAATTGGTAACTTCATATTTATTATGTACCATGTGGGATTCTACATCGTACAGGACTGTCTCCACCCATCATAATGAACCTTTTGATCTAATAGGAGAGTTAAAACACATATTTAGATTTGCTGAGTATGAGGCTTTATATTTAAATGGCTTGTAGGGGATGCAAGCTAGTTATTATAAGAATACAGGAAAGGAAGGAATTACTACTAACTGGAAATAGAAGAAAGTTTATAGATTGCTAGGTTAGGGAAAAGAGCTATTCTGTCTAGCCTTGTGGACTAAAGAGAAAGCTAATAATTTCTTTTCTCAGGTGAGACATGCTTACGCACCTTAGCCTCTGGTATTAGAAACAAAACATTTTTACATAAGTATAGAGGTAAATTCATACCAAGAAATAATCATGTGAACTATTATCTCAGGTAATTGGTTCCAGGAACCTCCCAGCCCCCACCCACCACAGATGCCAAAATCCTTGGATACTCAAGTCCTTTATATAAAATGGTATAGTATTTGCATATCATCTACTTACACACATCCTCTTGTATACTTTAAATCATCTCTAGATTACTTATAATACCTAGTACAATGTAAATGTTATGTAAATAGTTGTTATGCTGTATGTAGTGTTTAGAAAATAATGACAAGGCCCTGCATGGTGGCTCATGCCTGTAATCCCAGCTCTTTGGGAAGCGGAGGAGGGGGGATCACTTGAGCCCCGGAGTTTGAGATCAGCTTAGGCAACACAGTGGAATCACGTCTCTACAAAAATTTTTTTAAAATTAGCTGGGCATGCAAGTGCCTGTAGTCCCAGTTGCTCAGGAGGCTGAGACAAGAGGATTACTTGAGCTTGGGAGATAGAGGCTGCAGTGAGCTATGATTATAGCACCGCATTCCAGCCTGGGCGACAGAGTGGGACCTTGTCTCAAAAAAACAAAGAAAAGAAAAAAGTATCAAGAAAAAAAAAAAGACTGGCCAGGCACGGTGGCTCACACCTGTAATCCCAATGCTTTGGGAAGCCAAGGTGAGGGGATCCCTTGAGCTAAGGAGATTGAGACCAACCTGGGCAAAGGGAGACCCTGTCTCCTAAAAAGAAA